AAACATTGGAAAAGAATAACTCAGGAAAGTGACAAACAAATCCCATGTAAATAGGAAAGAAAAGAGGCACTACAAAGTGGTAATGCCTGGCCACTGTACAAGTCATGTTCAATTGGGCAACAGTAGAATCATTTTTAGTATTCTATTCATTATTTACAACTAAAACGCCAAGAAACAACCTTCTCGTGTCGGAGAAGATGACAAGCGAAGAGTTATACATAAATAATTTCCTTTTGCAGATAAATCTGTATGCTCCTTGTGACAGGAAGCATAACCTCAGAGCCCATTTTGGAGCAAAATAGGTTAAACTTCATCAACCAAAACATACAATTGTGTAGGTATGTCAACTAATGGTTGATACTCATATTCAACTCAACAGTTACAGCTCAATATCTGAGTATAAACAGACACTTACATGAAGCCAAACATTTGCCAGTTAACAGAAATAATCATCATACGGATCATATTGATTCAGTAAACAGCTATGGCCAATAAAGTAGGTCAATCAGGTACAACCACCAAAAAAAAAGTTTCAGAGGGTGGGTCTCTGATCAAGGAACAATAGATCATTGAAAAAAATCAAGAAAAGCAAGGTAGTAAAGGAAAACTTGCATGCAGAAAGACACGAAGGAAAAATGAAAAATATAACTATATGCTCTCCCACATTGAAACCTCTCATATGTAGGGAGAACTCTAAATTGACCCATAATAATCAAAACCCCAATATCATAGGAATTACCATCTCTCCTCATATATCAATCCATCTGCTGCAGTCTATTGATGGATAAACAATGTAACAAAGACCTGATGTCCTCCAAAAATTAGCCTTCAATGCCCTTCTCCAAAGGTTAATAACGTGTTAGGCAGGGACTTACACTAGTAAGGTTGCTCCATTGCCACCTGGATGTCACGGTCACGGGTTTGAGTTGCAGAAACAACCTCTCTTGTTACAAGGGTAAGAGGTACATCTAACCCTCCCCCGATCTCGCAATGGCGGGAGCTTCATGCCTTGTGTACGCCCTTAGGCAAGGACTTACATTCCTCAAAATACCAATGGCGAATGTAAGCTTAACGAGTAACAGTGAGAAAATTTTCTAGTTACTGCCATATTTACAAGTTTCAAGGGTTAACCATTACTTAATGCAGTTATGGCATGAAACCAGGCTCCCAAAACAGTGATGGTCGCATGAGCTTGAAAAGGAACCATAGTTTCATCATGATTGGCTTTTCTTTAAGGACCTCTCATCCTTCCCTTTCAGTTCTCTTTTCTTAAAATGTTGCTTATCAATTCTTATACCAAAACAAATTTTGAAAGAAAGAAGGCAATCATTCCCCATATCACTTGTTCACCAAAAGGTGTCGAAGGGTGCAACCCAATGTTACCTAGATCCGGGATCGATTTGGTATGTGGTATGGATAAGCAACTCTTATTTGGATTACTTTCGCTTCCATTTGAAATTACATATATTATTTTTGAGAGAATTACGAAGCCCCAACCGTAATCCATAACGACATACCAAATAATGAATGTGAATAATAAGAATAAAAGAATGCATATTTGTATTACAAAAAAAATTCAAATCACAATAAATCAATATACAAGTTTGTCAATCACCAAATTGAAGAAATAAAGTACAAGTTAGGGATACAATATAGGTTAAGGCTACAATTTGAGGTTACTTAGATCGTGGATTGAGTCGAGATTTATAATTTGGGGTCAGGAATTTGGATGATTTAAGCCGCGCACCCACCCCATTTGCAATCATGCAACCCTAGATTATGGGACTCCTAAGGCACTTATGATCCCAGTATCTTTGATGCAACCCATGTACATAGATATTTGATAGATTAAAGTTTCAATATACTAACACATTGCCCCAAAAATACACCACCACCAATCCCTGGATATAATTTCTTCCATATATTGAAAGTTATAGCTACAATTATGAGAAATTGGACTCCACAATCTGACTTGCTGCTCCAACAAGTACCAAGTTCCACTATACTAACACATTGCCATATGGATCCACCTACAACCCCACGACCCCCAAACAAAAACTAAGCAAGGCCTAAGCTCTACTAATAAATATAACTTTCTTCCAAATATACAAACTTTTAGATGCAATTATGTGTCATTGGCCCCCACAACCTGACTTACTATTGCAAGACAGCAACCACAGCTAATTTCCTTCCCACTTCTCTATTCCATCTTTTAACTTGACAAGTTAATTACTACCTCTGCGTTAGGATTTCACCATTGCCATAAGGACACTCATGCTAATCACACATAGTGAATAAATATGGTTCACAGGGACGAAACCACCAAGTCAATTGTTCACACATTTTTATTTCTGAGACGCAAAGAATCAAATGAATATCCTAGGACTTGAAAAAGAAAAGGCACAACAGGCAAGGTTCAAGGTGGCTGAGTTTGATACGACTCGGCCTCCTCTGATCCAATACCAATACACGATATATAAATATCAGAAGACTACGTAAAATTGGAATTCACCCGGTTACAACTCGGGCCAATTCAGCCTGGGTGAGCTCGTCTTCATTCTTTTTGATGGCCTTGCGTCGAGGGGGATACAATTGACTATCTCAAACTGATACGACAAGAATGAAAGTCCCAACTCCACATGCTTCACAACTTGTACCTTTCTCGAGCCCACTTCTTCGTCATCATCGAATCTAACCGATAGAGATTCATTTGTAAGATCTCAGAAAACACCAACCAACAAAAAGCAAGAGAAAGAAAGGGGGGGGGGGGGGAAGAAGAGACCCAAGGGAAGAAGAAATTATGTAACACTAAATCACACCCTTTTTTGCAATTATACAAAGACAGAAGAAATTGAATGGAGTTCTACACAAACTTGGAAACTATGACGAAGAAAGTCTACTTTCTTTTCCTTCTTCTTGGCGAAGCAATCCGACTAGTAGAGTTCTTCAATCAACTTGTCTTTCTCGCCTCCTAGGTTCTCTCGCAACTCTCTCATCCGTCATCTCTCATATCCTCTCTCTCTCTCTTCCCTCCTAGGATGTGTAGTCTTATCATGTGTATAGGTCTTAGTCTAAAAGGTGTATTCTAGAATCCTAGACTAAAAAGACTTTTTATCTATTATTGTTATGCTATTATTCCACCTTATATTATTGTCTATTATATTTTTAATTTTTTTGTATCTTTGCAACTAAATCTTGAAAATCTTGAAACACATGAGATAAGTTTAGATTCATAGATGAATCTTGAAATGCATGAGATAATTTTTGTTATTTATAATTCAAAAAATATTAAAATACTATGTTTTTTTAACTCAAAATAAAAATAAATTTAGTAACACATTTAATGCTAAACGATATTCGATAGGGCCCTTATCTTTTATTTTCTCTATGTTTAATGTGTTAGATGATGTATTTTGGGCATATGATGCATGAATATTATTGTTTGTTTTATTAAATTTTTTCATTATTTTTTTAAATTTTTTAGGCTTTCTATTTAGCATTTTGTGCGTATAAACCGGTAACGCGCCACGACTAATGTGTATCAATACCCTCCAAGTCGAAAGTAGATACCACGACCTTGAACCATAAAAACAGGAGGCAAGGTGACAACAGCAAAGAAGGAAGGCTTCCTATTACCAGTGTAATAAAAAAGCACCAAAGACACAAACTCATGGAAAATGCATAAAATTTTGGAAGTATGGAAATGAAGAAAGAATTACATTAGAAGAAGAGAAAACAGTACCCGCATGTAAGAAACACATTATATATTCTATGAAACTCAAACGAATGACAGAGAATATGGGGAAAAAAAATGATGTCGATGATCCTAGTCAGATCATGAAGGGTATAAATTGCAAAATATTATGACATATGATATTATATCAAAGCAGCATGATAATAATTCTTTTAGAGACCATTACAGTGTCATGTCATGTATTGAAAGATAGAAGACAACAGAAATTCACTAAATGTAACCAATCATAATTCACCTGAAGGCTTGCCAGAAGAGAGATGAGATTGACTGCTGGCAAAATTATCAAATTCCTCACAATTAACAGAAGAGAAACCATTGCAATTACCAAGCTTATCAAGATGAAAATCTCTGTTATCAACAAAATCATGGCTGAAAGCGCGATTCTTCAGAGGTTGCCCAATATAACTCAAAGATGATTCTACATTTTGATTTGTAGAATCCTCTTCTCGTGCGAAAGAAAACCTGGATTGATTGCTACTTTGAACTTTCCAAGAACTTGATACTCTAAGAGATCCCTGCTGTTTATCAGTTTCACCCAATAACCTAGCCAAATTCTGAGGTGAAGTTAATGAATCGTCCCACGAGTCAAAGTCCATTGACAAAATATTAGATATTATGCTGCTCTCTCCCGTATCTAGAGCAGCGTTGCTGTCAACATTGGTTACTTCACCGTCTAATCTTCCGATGTGCTTCCTTTTCTCTTCATCTAGAAGCATATAGGAATTGTCAAAGGTGTTGTCCAAATGAGCAGAACTGCTGACTAGATTCTCAGGGTACCCATTAGAAATAACTTGAATACTAGATGTCTGCGGAGGTGAACTGATGTCGAATTTCTTATCTACGATAAGGGGATCTACACTGACATTAAGTTTACTGTAATCCTCATTATACTGAGGATAATAACCCTTAACTTGATTTAAAAGATATGAAGAGTGAGATAAATTAGGTAAGTAGCTTGTACTGGTGACAACTTCTGGATCCTTAAGTCTCCGGTCATCAAAAAATAGTGAATCATCATCTACTTCACCCAATGCAGCCTGTGCCACGTGTGTTTCTGAATGAGATCTAAAATCAGATAGTTCTCTAGCAACAGAATTATCCTTAGTGGATGTCTCCGCATTCCCCGCGGCAAAAGTCAAAGGTTCTCTAAGTTGCTCCACGTAACTTTGTGGTGATCCTTGAGATCTATCAATGCTCAATGACGACATATAAGAGCATAGTTTCTGAATCTTCTTGTCTGCAACGTCTACATCTTTTCCTGGACCGCCATAACCACATGACTGCCCAGATAGGTCAATAGAATTTGTAACATTGGGTGGCATACCGCTACATTTATCTTCATCCTTGCATGCAGGTGCATAATGTAACTGGCTGTTCATAGTTGAACTAGCAGCATATCCTGGTGTGGCAGGAGTTTCAGATACAGTTGCTAGACGATCTGAACCCATATCCTGTTTCATAGGTTCCAATGCCTTAGCTTTAAAATTTTGTTGTATCGTATGACTTTCTCCATTAGGAATAAGCTTCTTTCCGACATCAGCATGCAATATAGAAACCTGAGTTGGGCTTGCAATTCCCATTGAAAACGCTAATGAGCCATTGCACGCATCAGGTTTCTGCTTAAGAGGTCCATTTGAATTCCCCAAACTTACAAGTGGTGGCTGGTTGTTTAAGGCACGTGTTCCCCTGGTTGACATGTCAAAATGATTAAGACAATTATCCATTTTAAACCAAAAGAGACTTCCAGTAGGTCAATGGCATACCATGAGGCTGCTGCTGGAAGAGCAACTGGTCCCCAGAGCTACTATTAGGCGGAGAATCTCGGACATTGTTCACAGAATTCTGCCAGAGAGATGTGACCAAGATCTTATCAGAATGAATGTCAATCCATTGCAGCAATCAAACTTTACAACACACATAATATTCATCACAAAACCAGAAGTAAAATATCAGTGGCATTATGTTTTTCATCCAGATATCAACACAGTAATTGAATGTCAAGAATGCTCGTGATACCTTATATGATGAAATTTAATACACACTGTACCCATGTGAAAGCATTATTTCCAATAAACCACAGTTAAGAGCCTTAAGGCACATTGTTTATTGATCGTGGGGGAGGGAAAAAGATCAAAATCAAAAAGATTAATACAGAAATTCTTACATTTACCCCACTCTTATTAATAGGTTTTCTGGAGGAAACAAAGCCGTTATTGCAGTACTCATCTGCTGGTGGTGGTAACACATTCCCTGACCGCTGTTGCATATTATTTGTAGCACCAGCAATTTGTTGAACTCTACTCCTTAAAATCAGCACACGATTTAATTAGCTAACCAGAATGCTGCCAAAGAATATCCAATCAACAGAAAAAGATAACCAAAGTATTTCTCGTTCTCTCCCCAAAAAAAAAAAAGAACATCTAATCATTACGAATTTATGATACCGACAGATCCCTAAACATAAAAGAGTTGCACACTGGGTAAAGACAGTCAAGACTTCAACTGCACAAAAGCCATTCCAAATGCAAATAAAAATCTTCACCCTTCCACATCTTCAACAATTTCAACTACCTTCAAAAATTTGAAAAGTTCAAAAAAATTATGAAACATCTACTGAATTGTTCTACAATAGATGGTCTCAGAGCCTGTGAATCTCTTCATATTTCCTAAATTCTTTGAGCATGCGACTCCAAAATAAATAACTACAGTAGCGTAAAAATAAGACAATCAGTAGTTTATGAGAAGTATGTCATACGTGTAGTCCTCCAATCTGAATTTTTAGACCAATGGATCGCAGTAGTCATTAATTATCGAATTGTTATAGACACAGTATAGCAAACATACATAATTATAATGATTGCTATTATCTTCTCAAATTCTCTTTAGTAAAACTTTTATGCATTTTTGCTTTTATTACAACATATAGTACGGACATGATTGGTCTAGACAAATATGTATTCTATCATAATTATAATATAGTCATTTGTCATTTGGAGCTTTATTTATTAAATTTTGACACATATCTATTTTTTAAGTATAGACACGACTTAAAGAAGGATCGGACATGCCTCCAAAGAAGTGTCAGAAACGCATCCAAAATATGAAGTTATTTTTAAATATCAACTCAAATAAAAGAGTATCTTACACTTGTCCAAATGTGGCTTATGTTCTCGTCATTAGAATTTTAGTGAAAGAAGCTTATACTTCAAATATTTTGAAAATTTCTACCCTTGAAAATCTAGGGTAGCCGAAACAGCTAACTTATGTCCCAGCTGCATGTGGTTATAAAAAGAGCTGAGCATCTCAAGCTCGACTCAATCGAACTATGAAGCACCGACACGTTATTTGCCCTCACATATCCGTGTCCCACACGTTTGGGACACGGATATGCTCGGACACGTCCCAGACACATGTCAGATACGCAAAAATCAATGTCCAAATTTTTATTTTTATTTTTTTGATAATCGGACACATTCCGAATACGTTTTCTCCAACTTACCAATTTTCGATTGTTCACAGCAGCTGGGGTCGAGGAAGACAGGCAACAACGATAATGAAGAAGTTGACGAGAAAGACGAAGCTCAAGACATAAAACACCAAAGGTGTCCATCGATCAGCAGCCATTTCCGGCGATCGACAGCCATCTTTACAAAAAAGAGAAAAGGAGAGAGAGATATGTTGCAAATGTGTCGGTGTGTTTGAGAGAGAAAGAGAGAGAGAAAGATGGCTGGGGGGCAGATCTACTTTTTCTTTTTTTTTTTTTGGGGGGGAAGTGAAAGATATTTTTTTTTCCTTCTAGATTATTCTGTTGTTTAAATCAAGTCATTGCCACGTGGCATGTAATTATTGGTTTTCTCAGATTTTTGCCTTATCTCCTTATCAACTTGAAAAGATAAAATGTGGCCCAGATTAAATGAGAACTTAAAACTTATACATTTCATTGGATGGGATAACTCATGGTTACCACAATTCACTAAACCCTTAACGACCTACGATCTGGGTACATTGATCCCAAACGAGGTGAGTTCGCGAACCAAATCACCAAAATGGACGACCCCAAATTGTAATACTAACCTTAAATTAATTCGTTTTAAAACATGTAACACAAATATAAAATACATATTAAATAATTACATGTATATAGATTTATAATTGTATATTGTTTTAGATAATAGAAAATCAAGCATAACTATAAGATAAATGATAATTAACTTAATATTTATAAATATTTTGTAATATATAATGTTGTATAATAGTAAAAACAATTTACATAGAATTACAAAACGAATTGCGACTCAAAATACCGTACCAGCTAAACCTACCTCTATCGTACCGCATACATAAAAAAGTGTCGTACCATGTGCTTGTACCTATACCACGTACCAAAGAGATCCATAATCCAGGCAACATTGCCGCTAACTTAATAATTGATCTGCTTTATGGGTCTTTTTTTGGTCCAATAAAATTAACGAGTGAATTAAAATTAGACTACATTTGGGCCAAATTTATCCATTTATTTGGGCCAAAAAAAGTATAAAAATGTGTATTGGGTCAAATTTATGGACTACTAATCATATAAAAATTAAATACATATATTTATTCAACTTGTCTCCAACGTGTCCGTGACCTGCTTTTTTGAAAAATAATGTATCTACGTGTCCGTATCGTGTCGTATCCGTGTTCATATCTGTGTCTGTGTCCGTGTCCGTACTTCTTAGCAATCGAGGAATGATTCGAGCTCACTAAATAGGTTATCCAAGCCGATCATCAGCTTCCATCTTCAGTAGCTTTGGAATCAAGCAGAAATTGAGCAACTTAAGGTGCCCATCCAATAGAATTAATCATATTTGTACAAAGGATGAGCAAAAATTTGACATTCATGGGGAAAAGATAATGAAAGCCATGTAACTTTATCAAAGACAATTGAACTTCATGAAAAAATCAGCACAACAGGTAATTACGTTGACATGTCTAGTGATGTAACATTGTGACAATAATAATCTATGTTAGAACTTTTAAACTAAAATCGTAAAATGTTCTCATTTTGTGGCTATGATCATAGTCGTAAAATCGTGTATCGGAAGATGTATAGTTTTTTAAAAATAGTGTATCGTATCGTATCGTGTATCGTAAGATACAGCGTAATTTTAAATAATTAATACTAAAATATATATGCTTTTAAAAAAAAATCATAAACTCATAAAAACATAACATTTTATTAATATTCCACCTACTATTCAAGTCACCAATATAATTTACTAATATTAAAAAAATAATGAAGGGTATCACATTAAATTAATGGTACTTAAATATACTTAAAAGTAAAAAATTATAATGTAGTGGGGTAGTAAATATAATTTTTCAAATTTATAACAAAAATATATATATATATATATATCTACACATGACTCTCGCGACCCATGAACGAACACAGCAGAGACAGAGAGAAGAGGCGATGACGATGCCAATGCCGGAGAAGAAGAAGAAGATACCTGGTAGTTGGTGGCTCATGGTCGCAGATTGTGAGACGGAGAGAGATGGTGAGACTAACAGGTTTGGGGTAAAAATTCAATCTAGGATTTCATCTAAAATTTATAGGTCACTGTTGCTATTTTTTTCAATTTTAAAAATTTGTTTGATTTACTTTTACTTGGGTGTTTTTACTAATTTGTGGGTTTGGTGGACCGATAATTCTTATCTTCATCTCTTACCTTTTTTTTGGCCTTTTTTTCTATTTTCTAAGACTGTGAACGATTTGTTGCATTAAAAAAAATTAAACAGAAACTTCGCGTATCGTTTGTATCAACCAATACGTATCGTATCATTTTACCTGCGTATCGTGACGTATCGTACGATATGTATCGCGTCGTATCGTGCGATACATATCGCGCATCGTACGATACTAATAACTATGGCTATGATGACCAGAAAAAAACAAAAGGTTTATCCACATGCACCTAATTACAAGCTAAACTCGACTTATTTAATACAAATTGAAGACGAGCTTGAATTCGACCATCTGAAAATCCCATGCACTCAAGCCAATCTTGAAATTGTAGGTGTTCGCCTTGGCTCAGCTCTTTTATGCTCTATCCATACAAGTGATTACCCTAACTAAACTGTAGCAGAAGGACAACATTTTTATTCAAAAAATTAAAGGACTATTGGCATTTGACCCTATTCAAGACTAGAAAACACAATTCGCCTCCTACTGTCAACGAAGTGGCGCTCCAAACGCAAATCCGTGATTTTAGAGCAGATTCATCACAAATTCGCAGATTCAAAAAATTGAATCCACAAATTCAAAATAATAGAATTCGTGCACCAAAATACAAAAAAATTGAACTAAATAATGAGGTAGACCTTAAACCCAATAGGAGATTTCAACCTCCTACTAGGCCTTTCAGCCCAATGAATCCAATAACTTGAGAAAAGATGTCTACAGCTGTCCTTTTATAACTCTTTTCCCTTGAAGTGCTTGTGAATCTACCTATGTGGGATCAAAAGTGTAGACTGTCATTTTTAAAGTTGTCTTCCCATTGAACTTCTTGTTACTCCACTGATGTGGGAAGGGAGCTTTGTTCTAAAATGTCCATTACCATTTTCCTTATTACTTTACATAATCATATTTATCATTTTTAATATTTTCACATCCTCTTTTTTAGTGTATATCACAATGTTATATATATAAATTTGGCACTCTCAATGACGCTCTCGCTGTCAAGTTTTTTTAAAATTTTACACTCTCACACTCCCGCTCTCGCTCCGCTCTATGTGACTTAGATTCAAGACTTTAAACCTTCATAATGTTTCTTGTTCACAAAAAAAAAAAGAAATAATAATAACCGAAATAAAGCATTCTTCCGAACAAAACTGAATAGATGAAGTTCAAAGGAATTGCTCATAGCCTTATGCTTCCAGGATTTGGTTTCTAAATAACTACATTTTGCTTTTATCCAAAACTCATTCAAAACCATATTCGTAAAGGGAAGTGAAGATAAACAAAAACATGCTGCCAAAACACATCCCTCAAAAGAGCAAGTGTGGGTAGATAACTCTGTAGACAACTCTTGTTATACGAGGGATTAAAGCACTAGAAGTAGTATTTCAGGATCAGAACAACAGTCACCACCAAAAACAATGATAAAAACATTATATTAGTGGGGGAATACACTATTGACAATAAAAAGGTCGATACTATGACCATCCCAAAACCAGTATGCGCCTAAGTTTCTCAGTAAGTTTTGAAAATGTTGTGCCCAATACTTAATTATAATTACAACTCTTTTCCAGGAAGTTTAAAAAAACTTAAATATTTTTTTCCTATTATTATTTGCTATGGTTCATTGACTAAGCTCATTCTTTTTATACTAAAAATGTCTAACGGTTCCAAGACCGACAATAAATTCCTTTCATCATCATACATCATAATCAGAATCAAGTCACGTTAAGGTCCCATTCGCTATCATCATGTCAAACCATTTTTCTCTTTTAAACACATTCAAATAAAACTTCCTCCTCCGAGGCCTATTCTTTCTATGATTATTCCCTCCCCAAGGTGGTGTCTAATTTTTATATCCCTTAGGCTGTTGAAAATCAAGCATTTATTTCGACTGGTCGATGGTATACTTCTTTCTTTAACAATCTCTTTGAATTCTGTAGCTCTTTTGATCAGCTTCAAAAAATTGGTGATTCCAACTGGGACCAATGCGCACCGCATATCATAGTACAATCCTCTAACTAAAATAGCAACTCACTTTTCGATTAGAGTAGTTTGCCTTCTTGTTATCAAAAAGTTCTCATCCCTCACTTCAAATGTAGACTCCCGTATTATTTATTATGGTTAGGTAAATAACTCAAACTCAATAGCATAGTCATTCTCACTCTCATAAGACCAAAACAAAACAATTATCCAAGTCTTTCTAAAAGTTCATAAATTATTGAAGCATTTAGGAGCCACATCATAATCAATACGTAGGAAACGAAAAAAGATAATTGCATTACAATGCATAATTACCTTGTGTAAGCTGATATTATTTCATCTTTAGTAAAGCTATCCTCTTGAGAACCAATGTCATGCAAGTATAAACAATCAGAATTGCTGCAGGGCTGGACAAAAAAAATTCCAATAATCAAAATTATTACATTTAATCAATTTCTCTAAAAAAAACATCTATATAACCAATAAATCAATCCCCTCTTGCTCAGTTATTTGAGGATCATACCACATTTCTAAGCCATGCATGACAATATTTTGTGGTTCCAAAGCAAGCCCTGTAAAATGAAACTCCAAAAGATTATATGGAAGTCGCAAAAATTAGATTGTAATTCATTCATACAAATGTGTGCCCACCTCAAAGATCTGCCCTCCAGGACAAATCCGTGTACATACTGAATACAACGAACTGCTTCATTCTCTTTGGAATAAGTAATATATCTAAGCCAAAAGACACGTGCGAGAACAGGAAAAATTAATAGTGGTTAAGCAAGACTACGTAACAAGCTAAGAGACCAACAGCAGATCAATTACGACAATGAACGTAACAAACCCCCCACCCCCCCAAAAAAAATAACTAAATAAATAAAATGATAAACTCTAAAACCAAATAAGCATGATATGTCCGAAACAATAAAATGCTAAGAAATTCAGCAGCCCAAGCATAAAGATGCCTAAAGAAATTGCTAACTCAAAAATGCTACCATAACCATTGAGGTGAGTAATTATTAGTGATATTGATAGCATTTGAACTTACACACTACAAGTATTGTTTGCACATTGTTGAATGGTACCAGCTGCTGTCCGAGATATAGACACCTTCAGCACCTTTCCATACTGACCAAAATATTCATCTCGCTGGAGAAGCTGTAGATAAACAGAAAGATTGATAAATAGACAGAAAAGAGGGGTTTTTTGAGAATTTTTTCTTTTTTTTTTTTTTTGGCGGGAGGTCTGTGTGGGGGTGGGGGAGAGGAGGAGAGTAAACTACATACATCTTCATCTGCTAAATTAAGAGGTAACCCAACAATGTAGACAAGGTTCCGTTGAATCACTCGCACATTGCCAAGTTGCTTCCTTCCTTCAGATGTTCTATTTTTTGGCTTCTGTGACTTCGATTTTTTCTCCACGAACCTGTTAGTATTTTTTTTTATAGGAAACATAACTGATATATATTAAAAAATATAGACAGTACATGAAAAAGGTTGAATCAGAAATCAACCAAGAAAAGGTAATTACAAAAAGAAGAAAAACATCAAAAGCTCTAAATCACATGAAGCTCTCCGTCCCTCCCACGAAGATAGCAAAAAGCAGAATCTCTTTAAAATCCTTGGAAGTCAAAGCCCAAAATGAAGCGATGAAATTAATACGGTTCCATAGCCCATCAAACAATTCACTTTGATCTTCAAAAATTCTAGCATTCCTTTCTTTCCATATATCCCAAAAAGTGGCAAGAATTATTGCACATCTCCATAGCGTCACTCCTTTAACAAGTTTTTTAAACCCATTCAAGTCTTCAGCCAAAAATGACGTAGATAACTTGGGAAGAACCCACATTAACCCAGCCAAGCTAAACAACTTATATCACAAAGCCAATGCCAAAGGACAATGAATGAACAAATGATCAATACTTTCAACTTCAGACTTACACATCACAAACCACCGAGTGGATATACAACTAGTTGGTCTTCTTTTTTGAAGCATATCGTTGGCATTAATCTTTCCATGTGCAATAGTTCTTGCAAAAACTTGTTCCTTAATAGGCACTTTAGCATTCTAAATCATCAATGCAAGAAAAAAGAGATGATAAGAAGATTCTTCCAGCAAAAAAACAAAGAAGAATTGGATAGAGAAAACACCTGAAGAGTCAAGGACCCATCTTCTTCAATCACATAAATCAACATTCGACTGGGAATTGTTAAGAATAGCAAGAAGTGACACCAACTCTATAGAATCCCTATCATCTAATTCCTACGAAAACCGAAGTCCCAAGACTTCAGTTGATCATAAGATCTCAACATATAAGCAACAGAAGCCCTGTGAAAGGATGATAAATGATAAAGACATGAAAACACATTTTTAAAAGATAACCCCCCTAACCATATGTCCTCCCAAAAACGAACTCTCTCTCTATTACCCACCACCAAATGAAGACTTTGGGAAAACCTCAACAATCTGTGATATAGAAATGGCATCGGTAGCTTTCCCTTTGAATCGTGTTAGTGTCTCATCCATTGGTCAAAAATCCATATTTGCTCTACATAACTAAATGCCACAAAAAAACTATGTTCTAAGAGAAACCTTCAAAGCCACTTAACCACTAAGTAATACTTCTTGCCTTTAAATTTTCAATCAAAAGACTACCTTTATAGAATCTAGAAACCATTTTCCAACTAATTAAGTGATCATTTCTCCCCTCTCCACCTCGTTCCCACAAGAAATTCCTCATCATTTTCTCAATTTTTATTACAATCTTGGTCATTAACTTAAACAAACATAAAAAGTAAATGGGAATACTATATAAAACGGACCGAACTAAAGTTAACCATCAAGTCTTTTTCCCACCCTTTCCACAACTGAATCGCAAAAAGATAAAGATAATTGATTCTCAACCAATTAATAGGCAGTTCCCTACCTTGCCCCCCAAAAGTTTTGCAACTTTATTGATCTTATCATGGTGTGAATTTATACCCACAATCAAACTTTAATCCATATTCTGCTTCAAGCCAGATATAATCCCAAACACATCTACAATATTCTTAAATTTAGCATTTTTCCCTCATCCCCAACAGAAAAAAATATAGTATCTACAAATGTGAAACATAAACCTTATCCATCGCTACAATAAATCCTTCCACGAGATTAGAACCTTCAGCCCTTTTCACTAATCTACTCAACTCATATGCAACTAAAGTAAAGAGAAAGTGTGCTAAAGGATCAACCAGTCTCAATCCTTTATAAGTCTTAAATACACCCCTTAGTTTTCCATTCATCATAACAAAGAAGTTCATAGATTGCAGACAACCCATTATCCATTTCCTCGAGCGATTTTCAAAGCCTTTCACTTCCAAGACAAACTTCAAAAAATCCCACTCCACATGATCATAAACCGTTTCAAAATCAATCTTAAAAACAAAGCCTTCATTTGTCTTGCCTCTATATTCCTCCACCACCTCATTAGCCATAAAGCAACATCAAGAATTTGCCTACCTTTAATAAAAGCACCTTGACACTCACAAAAAATATCCCTAAGATTAAAAAGACTAGATATCAAGCTTATTGGTCTAAAATCCCTGATTTTCATGAACTTGTCTTTCTTTGGAATCAAAAAAATGTATGTAGCACAAGGATCAAAATTTCGTTTCGAAGTACCGTTTCGGTCAGCTCAAAAATGGAAACGTTTCGGAAACGCAATGAAAACGCATAAAAACACAAATACAATCCATTAATTTATAAAGATAAGTTAAATAATTGATTAATTCAACATATTTATTGGATTAACATCCATTTATACAAGAATAAATTTAAATTTGAGAAAAAAAAGGCTTGACATGAGGCAAAAATCACTTAAATTAGTTTCAAACACTTAATTTTTATGAAATAAACATATTTTTATATAATATTAAGGTCTTATAATACACATGAAATGCTAATGAGTACATACTTACATGGCTGCATCCATCCCCCCGTGGAGTGTCGAGCAGGCTCTGGGTAGCTACTTAGATAAACTCCATATGTGACATAAATATGATAACAATAGTTACTCCAACTGATATTATTACGGTAATATTATCCAATTAATAATACTATTTTATTATAATACTAATAATGAAGGGTATCAAATTAAATTAATGGTACTTATGCATACTTAAAAATTAAATGTAATTGTAGTGGGTATTAAATGTAATTACAGTGGGTATTAAATATAATTACATTAGAGTATTAAATGTAATTGTTAATACTTATAAAAAAAAAAAAAGCAAAAGACTTGCACAGCAATGGGGTATTAAATATAATTACAGTAGGTATTCAATATAATTACAATGGGTATTAAATATAATTAAAGTAGGGTATTAAGTGTAACTATTTATTCTTATAACAAAAAAATTATAAAAGGCGGAAGAGCAATGAGAATTAAATGTAATTATAGTGGGGTATTAACTGTAATTACAGTGAGTGTTAAGTGTAATTATAGTGGAGTATTAAATGTAATTATTCATAATGAACCGAATATATCACTGTTTCGTCGAAATGGTATTGTTTCGATCGAAACGGTCCGAAACAGTGTTGTTTCGATCGAAACACTGAAATTTTGTGATTCAACTACTGTTTCGTTTCGGAGTGTTGAAATTCCGAAACGTTTCGAACGTGTCAACACGACATTTTGATCCTTGATGTAACATTAGTTTATAGCATTAACAACACCATTATGAAAAAATTCACCGAAAACATTCATCAAATCTCCTTTAATTATATCCCCACAATCTTGAAAAATAGTCAAAGTGAAGTCATCAGGACCCAAAGCTTTGTCTCTACCACACTCAAAAATAGTATTTCTCACTTCTTCCTCCTCAAAAGGTCTCTCTATCCACTTAGATGTAACCTAATCAATACAAATCCACTCCAATCCTTCCACAATTGGTTTAACAACCCTCTGAGATGAATATAATTGGGCAAAGAACTCTAGAATGTTACTCTCAATCATTCCCTTATCTTCAATGATCACTTCATCATCCAATTCCATTTTGTCAATGAATTTCTTCTTCTTTTTACCATTCGTGATCCTATGAAAAAGTTTAGAATTGTTATCTCCTTCTTTCAACCACTTCACGCTATGCATTTTGTCTCCAACTAATTCCTTCTTTGAACACTACCTCGTCAAAATTATTTATTAACTCCCATCTTTCCCTTCTCAAATTCTCATCTAATGTAACACTCTCTTCAATCTTGTCAAACTCTCCTATTCTATCCATGGTTAGACTTTTTTTGACTCTTATATCCCTAAAAACTTCTTTATTCCACATTTGAACCTTCTATTTCACATATTCCAACTTCTTCATGAATCTATAACCTTCCCAAACGTGAAAACTTCCTTCCCCTCACCACACCCTAAATTGTCATCCGAATGCATGATGTTCAAACCACATATTCTCAAACCTAAGAGTCAAAGACGAATTGGGAACAACAGAGCAAAGCAATGGTCTGACACAACCCTCGTCAAAATCTCAAGTCTAATTCCCAGATAACATTCCTCGCACTCAGCAGAAAAAAGAAATCTACCAAATCTATTACCCAAAGGAGGATCCTTAAGCCCTATTGGTATGATACCAAAGTTCATGAACACAAGCAGATTAATAATCTAAATTTAGATGAATAAGAACGATAATATCATAGAGTTCAATTTTAAGATAGTATAATCTGAGAGTAACCTTTCACACATTGGTGTCATTCCGACAATCTTTTCCTTGTTATAAGGCGTACGACATGCTGGACATCGCCCTTCTGTCACATCTTTCTCAGCCATTTCCATTATGTGATGCCAGCACCAAACGCAGATCTGCAGAAAAGTGGAAGCAAATCCAAATATTATTTGGAAAAAAATTATGGCCACTCATAATCTGAATTAACAGTTCAATGCTACAGCTTGGACAAGATACCCAATATATTGAAACCAAATTATTGTGCTTAGCCTCATGGGAAAAACTTTACTCAAGAAATGAGACGCAGCTCAACATTCAACTAATACAATTACAAGCGCAAAAAGAAAGTTAATGTAATGACTCCTCTATGGTAACTTAGATACCAAATGCTATAGCAGAAACTGCCCTTAATACGCACAGATGACAAAAGCAACGAACTTCCGCCATCACAACATGGTTATTTGTGACCAGCATCACAAGCGCCACATCAACAAGCAAATTAGTTAGCATTCAACCATCACATAAAAAACGTTGCATTGGAACACTGACCAAAATTAGAGCCTCAAACAGCACAAAGTGACAACAGACAAAAAAACACATTGTCTTGTCCCACACATAATATTAACCAAGCGGTTATGCTGCCTTCAGACAATGAAGTATCCAAAGAGTTGGGGTATATTCACCTTATCTCAGACAAAAACGACGACTTTCGTTTCATAAAAGTTCTTTACAGTCTCTAACAGAAACTGAAGCAAATATTATATTACTCATTATACATCGGTATCTAGACATTAATAACTTGCTTTTCCTCTAGTCCTAAATAGTAATACAGTGACTGTGGTTTTGGAATACTTGAAAACCTCTCAACCAAAAATAAAATTAAAGAATGAGAATATGTCATTACAAAACCCAGAACAAGAGATTTAGGGGAAAGGTGCTTCAAACCTCATAACCGCACTTGCAAGGCTTCAACTGCTGGTCGGTCAAGTCCATCTCTTCAGCACAGAGGGGACAAGTTTTTTCTCCTTGGTCGCTCATGGTTGCCTAAAGACAAAAAAACAAGATCAAACACAATAAGACCCTAATAAAAACATTACAGTTTCAAAATAATTTCATACAATTAATATATTTGCAAATAGAAGCTCAATAACCGCGGCTGACAATAACAGTAAGGCATTAAGTATCAACTTTTAGTCACCACAGAACTTTACTTCACATGCAACATTTAATTGATAGAACCCAATTGTCAATTTTATAATGCCACATTTTCACGGAATTGCAAACTATATCATCATAACCCATTTTTTTACCAAAAGAAAAGAATAACAGGAAAAAAACAAAAAAGGTTTCAGCATCTAAGGAGCAACAGAAAATCACAACTAACAGTCTCCCCAAATCCCAAACCAAACCCTTTAAATGTTATCATCCACTACCACCCACTTTTTCACATAAACTGAATGTTAACATGCATCGATCCAACATTAAAAAAAAAATTACATCGTAGAATCAAAGCTCTAAATTATATCCGACATCAACACTATCTGGCAGAACAACAAAAATCACAGTCAAAACCAAAAATTCATTGAATTTTAACTACGCAATCACAATGAAAACTTCATCAAATCCCGATTCATACCACTATCAAACAGAAGATAACTCAGAGACAAAACCAAATCAATATAAAATCAGGTATAACAATCAAAAAACAAAGCCGATTAGAATAAATATACAAAAAATGGGGATCCAATCCAAAGCCATGACTTGGTAAACTTAGGGTTTCCGGATTGGATTTGGAAGCCTTACAATGGGTGATGGATGTAGACAAGGACGAATCGGAGCGGATTAGATTTGTAAAGAGAAGCAAAGTAGCGAACGAGACAGAACTAGAGATGAAGAGACAGAGAGAACCACAGGGCCGGTAAAGGGTAGAGAGAAAGAGAGAGAGAGTGAGAGAGGGGCGGGGCTGGGCTTCGGATGTCGCTGTCATTTAAATATTGAGAAAATCTCATAAATGCCTACTAAACTATAACCTTTGTTTTAAATTGCCCCTAAACTTTCAATTATCCCAATTTATATCCTGAATTATGTAAAAGTTATTCCAATTGATCTTTTCGGTTAAACTTAACTGTTAAATCCTACAATATGTAAGTTTTTCAATCAACCTCTACTGTTAATCCCAACAGAAGGAGTTAGTTGAAATAAATTACATAATTTATAGGAAAAATTAAGATAACTGAAAATTTAAATGATAATTTAAAACAAATATCATAGTTTAGGGGTGTTTATGAAATTTATCCTTAAATATTTTCTTGGATTACTAATGCCCTTCGAATAATTGGATTTTATTGGTGGGTTCTTTGGAAATCGGTACACTTAATTAGACTTATTTGACAAAAAATACATAAAATAAAATATGAGTTAAAAAGACATAAATGCTCATTTTAGGGTCATTTAATTCAAAATTTCTTATTTTTAATTCACTTTGATTCATGTGTGATTGTTAATACATATAAATACGTATTTAATGCACATTTGATTCATGTGTATTTATTAATACATGTAAATATATATATTTGTTATTAAATATCTTATTTAAATTTTAAATTATCTTTAATGCACTTTGATGCATGTTATTTTTTTTTTTTAAAAGTGATTTTTTTTTCAAATTATATTTAATGCACATTGATTCAAACTTTTTTTTTTTTTGGAAAATAGTTTTATTTTTAAATTAATTTAATATCCGAATAATGTAACAGCGTAATAAATACACTGTAACAAAAACAGTGTTCAGCAGTTTTATATATATAGTAACAAATTCAAAACGGAGATGGACTATTTTGAATGAAATTATATGAAACTATATGTTTGATAAAATGTAATAGTACAATATTTTAAATAAATATATTGTTACACTATTATTGTTATACTGTTATATTATTAGTGTTACACTTTTATTGTTACATTGTTACACTTATTATTGTTACACTATTAAGAAAAAAAATTAATTTGAAAATAAAATCACTTTCTAAAAAAATGCATGAATCAAAGTGCATTAAAAGATAATTCAAAATTTAGATAAGAGATTTAACAACAAGTATATAAATACATACATACATAAGTATATATATATATATATATATATATATATATATATTAAAGTTCTCTCATAAAACTAGGAGATGTTTAATGCACCACTTTCCAAAGAAAAGTGGTGTATCAAATACACATGGATTAATGGAGGGCAAAAATGTCACAATAAAAATAGATAAATTCAAATTATGTACTTTGATACAAATAAGTATACTTTTTAGTGTATACTTTTTGTCAAATAAATCTAATTTGGTGTATTTCCTTACAATTTACCCTTTATTGATACAATTTCCAAAAGTAAAAGTTGGCTTGTAACCATCCGGCCCATAGATCAATGGATTGGGCCCAAAGTCCAGGTCAGGTAATGGTGTGTTAACCTCAAAATGGACAGGTCATTTCAAGGTAAAAAAAAAAAATTGTGAAAAGATACACTATATACGAGTTATTTGTGATGAAGTATCTTAATATAAATCTTCTATGTATAAGTCTTTTTTTGTATAAATATTTTGTGACCAGATACACTTTAGCTTTTTTTTAATATTTTATTTACATAAAAGCCCTTTTTCTTTTTTTGTAGAAAATAATTTAGGTAGTTAATTGTGGGATTCAATTTTCCTATTTTATTAGAAAATTTTCTTATTTTTTTTATTCTATTTTAATGGTTAAGTGGTTTCCTAAATTAAAGGATAATTAATTGTTTGAATTTTGAAAAGATTTTATTAGTTTAAAAAAAAATCTATTCTCTCTCTATATATGACTCTCACCGTTAATATATCTCTCTCCCTATTTTATCTTTCTTTTTCTCTCTCTCCCTATTTTCTTCTCTCTCTCAAATTCATTTTCGCTCCCATCGTTACTCTCCTCTCCCTATCCTCTCTCTCTCTCTCTCCCCTTTATTGTATATCTTTGTTTATGCATTTAAGTCATATTGTGTGATACTCACTCTGTGCAAAACACTGCATATGATGTTTGTTTTATAATGTGACATTGAAGTCACACTTTTGATGCCTACACTATGAAAAAACAATGCATATGATGTGTAGTTGCATTGTGACATTGAATTCACATTGTAATCCTCACCATGTGTTTTTGAATCTTTATGTGATGTGTGTATGAAATGTTACATTGGAGTTACAGTGTGATATCATTCATGTGCAAATCTCATATATTATATCTATATGCAGTGTAAAATTAACGTCATATTTGTGATGCCCATAATGTGTCAATCCCTAGGTCACACTATGGTACATTTCATATGTCAAAACATGCATATGTTGTGCGTATACAATGGACATTGATGTCACATTATAATATCCACAGTGACCTAACTCTGCATATGTATTTTACAAGCAGTATGATATTGGGGTCACAGTATATGTGTCACAAATTATATAAAGAGAGAGAGAGAAAAATAGTCATTATATTAGAAAGTATTTAAAATTAAACAATTTTGATTTGCGTTAGCTTTATTTTTGTCACAATTATATATATATAT